CCCTTAAGGAACTAAGCCACCCAGGTGCCCCAGAGTATCTTTTTTACAGATGACAAACCTGAGGCCCAAAGAGGGATGGTAACTTACCTAGGGTCACACCAGTGGCAAAAGAACAGGAACCCAGGCTTTCAGACCCAAATCCTATATTCTTCCCACTGACCTCTCGTTACTGCCAAGGATAGGAGAGCTGTGGGAGATAAGGCTGGAATAGGACCCCTGGGACCAGAGTGAGCAGCAACTCGAATGTGGGGCTGAAGAGTCTGGGGAAGCTCAGAAGCTCCTGGTGGACATGAATGTTGGGAGGTCAACAAAATTAGGTGGATCATTGTAGTGCAGAGTTGCCTAGAGGGGCAGGCCTGACAGGGAGGGAGACCCAAGGGGAAGCTGTGGTAACAACAGTCTGGTCCTGGAATGTGAAAACACGTAGATGCAGGGAAGGAAGACCCAGAGGACCAGGTGAGGCAAAGAGGGGAGGAGGACAGGAAAGACTTCTCCTGGGAAGGAGCTGGAATTAAGAAGAGAGAAAGCTGCTGGGGGCAGTGTAGATATGGGAGGCCAAGAGTTCTGTTTGTGTATGTGTTAATCTGTGGTGGACTGGATTGTAGTGGAGTGCCCAGAAGGTTGTATTTGGAGGTCACCTGCCCAGAGGGGATGGCTGGAATGACAGAAGATGAGTATTTTGAGTCAAAGAGGAGAAAAGGGCTAGCCCTGAATTACTAAGAAAAACCTAGGGAAGACTCTGTTTTGCTTAGCATCATAGGGAATGTGTGATACATTTTAGAATGGTACTCAAAGCGTAGTTACAACAAAAACTTGGGGTACTTAAATGGTATAGTTTTACTTCACTGATTTGTAGTATAGCACCCACAATCATGATAAGCAGATTCTTACAGGCTTCAAGATAAAATAAAAGTTAAAAAAAAAAGTCAAAGAGCCCTTCAAAGATGTAAAGGACAATTTCATCAGTAAATTCTAGACACTGGGGAATTTATCCTAAGCAAAAAAATTATTGATGTGGGCAGAGATTTAATTATACAGTGTTGTTTGTATTAGGAAAATATGGAGGGACACCTGTGGGGCTCATTCGGTTGAGTGTCCAACTCTTAATTTCGGCTCAGATCATGATCTCATGGTTCATGACTTTGAGCCCTGCATTAGGCTCCATGCTGACCATGCAGAGCCTGCTTAGGATTCTCTCTCTCTCTCTCTCTCTCTCTCTCTCTCTCTCAAAATGAATAAAATTTAAAAAGTTAAAAAAAAAAAGGAAAAAATGGAAATAACCTAAATGTCCTCTATTAGGAGATTAATGGATAAATTTTTATTTATCCTTATTAGAAAATAATATATACCCACTACAAATTATATTGCAGAAGTACATTTCATGACATGGAAAGATATAGATCCACATACACCTGATTATCTGTGAATTAAAATAAAATTGTTTTAAAGCACTTTTTACAGTTTCCTAATACCTTTAAAAGGGTCATTTTGGTAAATTTCAGACACAACCTGAGATGCAAACTTCCTTTCCCTGATCTCATTTTGAATTTTCCAGTGGCCATATCAGGTTCTTAGGGACAGGACAAGCATCTGCACAGAAAACAGACTTCACAAGTCAGGAGCCACTTGCTTTCAGCTCTTCTTGTTCAGCTCTTGATCTCTGTAGTGGGTTCCCACTCCATCTGTCACTTAAAGCACCCCAATCCTTCTTCCCCTTCCCCAGCTTCAGCATCTTCCATTTTTCCATTTTGCTTAATACCAGTTAGGCTCATTCTTCCGAGCTCCTTCTGCCTCTTTGCCTCTCCCACCTGCTGCACCCACCACTATCTGGGAGATGGCTCTGACCCATTCTTATTGGTCTCTTGGGAACCAAGCTTGGTGTTAGTCACAGCATGAGATTCTGGTGCACCAGAATTGGATCAAGCCAACCTTTCCTCCGTAGGAGGGAGGCAGGAGAGTGACTGATGGGTGCAATACTACATCAATGTCTATTTATAGCTTGCACCACTGCAACTGGGTGCTGCTGTGGAGGGGGAGCTGGGTGAGAGTGACACAACTAGCCCTGCCAGGACAAGCAATTTACTTCTGAGCTAGCAGCTTTGGGGAGGTGAAGGAAGGAATCTGCTGGGCCAGAGTTCTGGATGGAAAACTGAGCTCAGCCTCTAGGAGTACAAGTGGGGCAAGGTCTACTTGAAAGCACAAGAGTTAAGAAACTGCCTTTCCCAAGGGACTGGGACCTGGGCTCCCCAACTCTTTGGCCAGATCATGGCTTTGTCCATCCCTAAGCAATTCCACGTTCCTCCCCCCTCCGCCCCCCACTGCCTAGAACCTGTCTGGTCCAAGTGGAGACAACATCAATGCTACTACTAAGGAGCTCCCATGTAAGGGCCATGGGAGGCTGTGGAGGTGGCTGAAGGCAGGAGTGCAAGGAGGAAAAGGCTCCCTGAGCCCTTCTCCAAATCAGCAGTCCGAGTTTCTCTGAAACACTTCTTTATCCTAAGGTCAGCTGTAGGGCAGTCCCAAGGATGTAGACCCAGGACAGGGAGAGGTGCCTCTCTGTCACAGTTAGGTTCTGGGTAGGGACCTCAAAAGCAGCATCTGCTGCCCAGGTGGGGGGCATGGTGCTTTACAGACATCATTTCTATGTCACCGTAAACCAGCAAAATAGGGTTTCTTGTTATTTTCTAGTTGAGGAGATTGAGGTTTCCAGCCGTGCCAACAGCAGCAGCCAAACTGGGATTTCCTCTCCTTCGGTGGCCCCAGGCAGCACCCCAGGCAGAGTAGGCTTTCCCTTAATTCCCCAAGGCAGGTGAGTGACCAGGACGTGGGTCACCCCTCAAGAAGGCGTAGTATGAGGGCCGAAACCCTTCCTTCATTAGCAGGCTTGAGGAACCAGGCTAGTTTACGGGGATTCAATCCCAGTGTGTCCACTCTGAAGAAGACGGCAGGTGTCCGGGTGACCTCCTCACCTGCTTTCAAAAGATAGACGTTCCCAGGGAGAGGAGGGTGAGGAGATGGCCACAGGAGCCAGCAGTCTGGAAGAATGCGGAGTGAGGGGAGCAACTGCGGGCCGGGGGCGTTCGGCTTTCCTGGACAGCTTTCTCCCGGGCGAACCGGTGTGTGGGGGGGGGGGGGGGGGG